CCCTCCCCCACCCCACGTCTCCGGCGCCAGGGCGTGAGACCGGCCACGGCCCGGGCACCAGGCGGACGGGACACCAGGCGGGCCCAAATGTCCGGCAATCTGTCGGGGCGACCCGGCGCAGGTCCCAGCGGGACCCCGAGCCACACGGAGCGAAGAGAAGAAGGACACGGGTCAGCCACCACTCCAGCTCCCGGTGGACTAGGGCAATACACTGATAATATAATTTTAGACAACAATACTGCAACTGCACTGAACGACCTCTCCAAACTAACACCACTCACCTAAAAAGCTGGAAATCGAAATCCTCCGGAAATTCCCAATAGTGGTTCGAAGTGATCCTTCGGGAAATATAGAGCCAAGTTTTACAGTGCATGTTTATTTGTAGTCGCGCCGGTCACACAGCACACGCCACAACGCGTAACAGACGTTTGACCATTGATTCAGGTTCGTTGTCCGCATCAATCGTTGAAAAACTTAATCCTTCACTGCTTAACGGAACGGGCAGGATTTCGATCCCTCACACGTTCTCAATACGGAACGAAAATAACGTAGTCCGTTGCCATCGTGAATAAAATGACAATAGCAGTAAATACGAAACGGACGCCGCAGCGGAACAAAAACACAAACATGACAGCGGGCCGAAATTGAGTCTGACGCCTGTGGCTCGTCCCATATCCACGGGGCCGGTGGCACGAGTATCCTTTTACTAGACTAAATAACGGCACAGGCTAGAGCCCCCCGCCCCAGGCCCGCTGATCCCCGACAGATCCGTGGAATCTCTGCCATTTCATTTCATGTGGTGGAGGACCGCCCACTCCTCGCCTCTCGCCGGCACAGTTCTCAGCCCGTCCCGCGGCCGCGGCCTGGGCCGGGGCGGCGCACCGCAGTCCGTATAGACCGGCCGTGAATTATGCATGAGTATCGAGAGCCGGGCGCCATTTATTTATCTTTTTTTTTTTTTTTGAAAACATCGCGGCACCCGGAGCGCTCGAATTAAGAGTGACGTCTCACTCTTGGGGGAGGCGCAGTGGTGACGTCGGCAACAGCTTGGCTTTGGCCACCGCCCTGAGCGCCGCTTCTCCCGGCTCGGCCACTGGGGTGGGGGAATTGCAGTCGTCCCTGTCACATGCTTTGAAAGCATGCGAGTTTTCTCGCCGTACCCGAGGCCGTATCTATCCAAATTAAAAAATTTGAGCTGACTATGGAGAGCATGGTAATGTAAATTCTGATCTAGAATATAACAAGCTCAGTCAAAAGTATTAAATAGGGATTGCATGAAACCTTCGCATTCGGAAAACGCAGAGTCTGACTCCCGGACAGGCCGCTCCCTGGACGCCTGCAGCATAGGCCACGTGCCCGACGGCCACGCACGGAAGCGCGTTATATTGCCTACCCAGCAGCTTGCAGGCGCGAAGGGGTGCAGACACGTTCCCACTTCCGGTGCGGGTAGAGTTGATTTCTCGTGGAAGCAGACAAAACATAGATGTACTGTCATCTTCCATTCCATGTGGAGAAAAATGACATTCATTGATGGGATTTCTGAATCCAGATCGCACTCATTGTTGGGAGCAGCCACAAAACATCTCGCAGGTATTTATGGCGAGGAATGTTCTCCTCGCACAGTTTAGTGTGATGTTTGTTACCTCAAATTGAATTGGTGCGAGGGAATCGCACACGTGAGTTTCCCCGGCACCGAGGTAAGCGAAGCGGCGGGGCCGTTGTAAGTCCAGGAAGGACGCAGCAGCAGCTGAGAGGTAACCCACCGAGGGGGAAATCACTCCAGTTGAAAATGTTGGAGTTAGTGCGTTACTACACCTTAGTATACATCCGATTTTTAGAGCCATCTTTCATAATGTTTACAAAGTGTTCGCTTAACAGCACCATTTTCCTTGATGTTTACCATAAGGGCGCATTATTACGCCATTAGTATACAAGTTAGTACAAGCCTGGGTGTACAGTTAGTACACGCAAGTGATTTTCCCGCTCGGTACCCACTGTACTTTAAATTCCTCAGTAGTAGGTACATATGATTCGTGTAAATACCCAGGAATACCAATTCCCAGCATTCCCGTGATTTCCATATAATATTACCGAAATTCTCCCTGATCGCCGTTGATTCCCTGTGATTCCCAGTGATCCGCATTAATTTCCTACGATTCCTACGATTTCAAATGTTCCTGATGATAGCTGATGATTCTTAAGATACTTGCTAATCCCCTTGTTTCCCTACGATTCTCCATGATTCTCGCTACAAATTGATTTCTGCGATTGCGAATGATTCGTAGGATTTCTAAATTTCGCGATGATTTTCGACGATCCTAAATGATTCCTGTTGGTTCTCCACGGTTCCTGCACGGAAAAAAAAGATTCGCTGAGTCAGCTAATATATTGACTGGTATATGGACAGACAAGCACATAAACTTCTGTAACCACTATATTGTCTACTCTAATTAATCATTGGCTGTGCCAGTCAAACATAAGTTGTATGAAATAATGATTTGCCTGCATCAATAAGGTAGACCTCGACTGATTTAGGGGAAGGATAAGCTCTTACAGCTAATTTTTGACTGGCACAGCCAATGATTGATTAGAGTAGACAATATAGTGGTTACAGTAGTGTATGTGCTTGTCTGTCCATATACCAGTCAATATATTAGCTGAATCAGCGAATCTTTTTTTTCCGTGTGTTGATTTCGTATGATTTCCACAAAAACGCCAAAGATTCTTGATGCAAGGAAAAAAATAGCTGTCGCAACTAATAATTTAGCTACATTTGGCATAGACAATAAAGTCGCTGTTGTAGCTAACAGTTGGTTGCTACAGACAAGAGTTAGTTGCCACAGCAAAACTGTCGCTGCAGGAGCCAATCGGTTTGTTCTGACAGCGAAACACCCAATTAGTTGCCCCAACGAACCGATTGGCTCCTGCAA